GCGGTGAGCAGCGGTGGGCGGAGGTCAGCGGCGCGCTGGAGGTGGCTTGGAGGCAGAGGTCGGGTTAGCGAGCTGGTCGGGCGGCGGTCGGCAAGCTGGTCGGGCGGCAGTCGGCAGAGCTCGTGGTTCGTTGCTTTGGGTTGTGGAGAGAGAGGGGGCTGGAGTGAGATGAGAACGAGAGAGAGAGAGAGAGGGAGAGAGAGAAAGAGAGAGGGAGAGAGAGAGTGATGGTGAGTGATTGAGTGAGAGAGAGTGAGACGTGAGCTGGAGATTTAATGAGAGAGAGAATAATAGAGAGAGAGTGTGTGTCAGAGAGAGATAGATTGAGTGTGAGATTGAGGGAGATTTTAATGAGAGAGAGAGTACGTGATAGGGTGGTTGGGAGGATGTGTGATGAGAGTTGGGGGAAACACGAGGTGGGGATTTGCGTGAATTTGGGAGGGTTTTAGGGGGAGAGAGAGATACAGAGTGAAATACCGGTGAGAGAAAAAACACAGGGAAAAATACCCCTTAAAAAATAAAAATTTAAAATTAAAATACCAGAAAATTTATTCAATAGATATTAAAATTTATGGTCAAAATAATAATAACAATAACAATAATGAATAATTAACTATTAATTTAAATTTATGGTCAAAATAATAATAACAATAACAATAATGAATAATTAACTATTAATTTAAAAATTTTACCGAAACAATTAAATTTAAACAATAACAATAATGAATAATTAACTATTAATTTAAAAATTTTACCGAAACAATTAAATTTATAATTAGTAAAACTATTAAAATAACATAATACCCTTTTTTTTAAATCGTAGAAAATTCTAGAGAAATTAGGAAAAATACAAATACTCTTTTAGGAAAATAATATTTAATATTTAAATACCAGAAAATTATTTAAACCAGTATTAGAAATTTACGATCATTACAGTGGACCACCAAACGTTCAGATCAGATCCGGAGCTTCGTCGATTCGCGAAGGAATCAAGAAGCCGAAGCGCTTATCTCGGCAACAGCGAGATAATTGCTCTTCTTAAGATCACCGCAACGGGGTAACCTTAAGGGACGAACCGGGCTGCAGATCTAACGAACTCCTCTTCTTTATGCCGAAGAATCCGCTGAACTCTCCTCCTCCTCTCTGAAATTTGTGGCTCTTCAGTCCTCAATCCGGCAGGGCTTCGCCAGTGCTCGAGAATTCCAGATCTTAAAAAATGAAGGCCCTGAGGCTGTATTTATAGGCTTCAAGAGCCCTGTATTCGGATAAGAACAGTTGATTCCCTCTTATTTTCAATTGAAACCACTTAACCACGTTCTTAGATAGATTCAGATCAGTTGGAACAAATCCAGGTGGTTAACGTTGAAAAATGGTTCAAAACAGCTAAAAACAATATTTTGGGGGTTGCGGACACTTATGAGTGTCTCGGTGTGGCCAAGACACTTACAAGTGTCTCGGGTATTTTGACCCTAACTTTCTCATATGACCTCCAAATGACCTAATTTTAGATGTATTGGAAATTTGACAAAGATATATACAACTTTTATGTTTTGAGTTTCTTCAGATTCTAATCGTATCATGGCCAAAAGTGTCATTCTTTCCAAGATACCAACACTGTCTTGGAATTCTGAGGCAGTTTGTACTATATTTGGTATTTTAGCTTTATCTTTCATATATGATCTCCAAATGACCTGATCCAAAAGGAATTGGAAAGATAACAATGAGATCTATAACTTTCATGTTTTGTGTTTCTTCATATTCGAAACGAATCATAGCCAAAATTGCTCTACAAGGTCCAAGACACCTTTGGGTGTCTCGGCTTGGGCGAGACACCAATGGGTGTCTCGGCCAATCCGAGACATCTCTCGGTGTCTCAGCTTGGCTGAGACACCTTAGAGTATCTTGTCCAAGCCAAGACACCTTTGGGTGTCTCGGGTTGGCCGAGACACCTCTGGGTGTCTCGCCGAGGTCCGGGACGTAGTCCTGCGCGTTCCGTCCGTTTTCGCCGTATCTTCGTCGTCCGAACTCGGAATCATGCGATTCAAGATGCATCGGAAAGCCATCGAGAAGATATAAAAGCTTCCATGATTGAATCATCTGTGGAATGGATGAGACATGGAAGTCATTTCGTCTTTTGTAAGTGACGCAGAGCTCCCGATCAGTTCGTTTCCTCGTTGTTCTGCAGTTCCGTTGCTTCACATAGTTCGTCGACTCACTTCATGCACTTATAGATGTCAAATGAGCTTTTTTGACTCGGATAGTGATGTTTATCATCTTCTCTCTGTCTCAAGCCACGTGCGGGGACCTATAGGTAATTTTTGACGCCTACAGATACCCCCTCCAAAGTGTTTCAGTCTCGTTTATTTTATAGATGAGCCTGAAAATACTTTGGATATGATCGGTCCAACTTTCTTTCGGCGTTGCATTTATCGTTGGGCCGTCGTTGAAGTTTCGAATCAAAAAACTTGGTGAGTTGATTTGGGCTCGTGTTGTCGAGTTGACTTTGAACTGACTACCTCTGCCACAATATATTGGCTTACGTTGGCTTTTATCACAACGCGTTGACTGGTGTTGACCTAGGGTTACACGTTGACCAGCGTTGACCTAGGGTTTCAGATCGCCTGACGTTGACTTTTTCATCACAACGCGTTAACTGGCGTTGACCTAGGGTTACGCGTTAACCAGCATTGATCTAAGGTTTCAGATTACCTGACGTTGACTTTTCATTACAACGCATTGACTGGTGTTGACCTAAGGCTACGCGTTGATCGGCGTTGACCTTAGGGTTTCGGATCGCCCGAGGTTAACATAGTTTATAGTCGTGCGTTTGCTGGAGTATACACGGTTTAAGCTCTTAAGGTATTGGAGCATAGCAGTCCTAACAGTTGGGGTTGCAGGACCAACTGTCAAAGCTGATTCGTCTGTAGATATGGATCTTATCCCGAAGTTGTTGTTGGATGCTCGAGTCACGAGACCAGTTAATAAAGTTGGCGTGTCAATGACTTTCACACTTATAGGATTTTTGGCAAATCCTCAGCCATCAACGGATTTGATGAGCCTTTACCGACTACTGTTTGAGTCGGGCTAGCACGCAGATTGCTTAAATCCGTTCTGCATGTAACGTTGTGCTAAAAGAGTTAACTCCTTTAGTGCTACGATATTGAATACATAGACTTTGTCTTTCTTATGGGAATAGATTACCCGGCGACGTGTGTTAGACGTAGACTTAGGATTTTTGGCCAATCCTCAGCCATCAACGGATTTGACGTGCCTTTACCGATTACTGTTTGAGTCGGGCTTGCATGCGGATTGTTTAAGTCCGTTTCGCATGTGACGTTGTGCTAAGAGAGTTAACTCTCTTAGTGCTATGATATTAAATTCGTAGACTTCGTCTTTCTTACGGGAATAGACTACTCGACAACGCGTGTTAGGCGCTGACTTATCCCTACTTAGGCTTCGGGATAAAATTCTCCAGACTAGAATTCTGGTGTCTTCTTCAATCGGTGAAAGACTAAACCGACAACGCGTGTTAGGCGTTGACTTATTTCTACTTAGGATTCAGGATAAAATTCCCCTTGTGTGTGAAGCACGGATTTTGGTGTTATTAATAACAACCTGCCACAATATCGAATATATGGGCTTTTGTCCTTTTTATGGTCAAGGACTAACCGACAACACGTGTTAGGTGCTGACTTATCCCTACTTAGGCTTCGGGATAAAATTCCCCAGACTCGTATTCTGGTGTCTTTTCATTCGGTGAAAGACTAAACCGGTAGCATGTGTTAGATGCAGACTTATCTCTATTTTAGGGTTTGAGATAAAATCCCCCGTGCATGAAATGTACGGATTTAGAGTTGAGAATTGTGTCTTTTCTAAAGGTAAAGACAAACCCAGAGCGGGAGAGGAAGAATTTTATATTCTATCTCCCAAAACTAAAGAGGAAGAATTTTATATTCTATCTCCAGTTGCAAAGGAGACTCGAGGTGGGATCTCCACCCCCAGAATCCGGAAAGGTGAAACTAGGAGTGGGGTGGGATCTCCACCCCCAGAATCCGGAAAGGTGAAACTAGGAGTGGGATCTCCACTCCGAGAATCAAAAATATTCAAATAACCCTAACTTTTATAAGATTTGTTGCTTAATCCAAGAAAAGAATTCCTCATTTATTAAGGTGAAATTCTGATTTCGGACCTAACTTTTATAGGTTTGGCCGAATAGGAAAAGATGGAAGTCTTTCGTTTATCGAAAGGGGTATTCCGGTGCAGGTTCGACCAAGTGAGGTTGGAGGCAACCCTAACTTTTATAGATTTGATTGCTCAAATTGAAAGTGGACCTCTCGTTCAGGGAAGGAATCGAGTGGGGATTTTGGTTGTGGTCCTAACTCACTACAACAAAATACAACATTGCCGACGAAACAAAAACATCGGCAAAAGTTTAAAAAACGTCGGGAAAAATCTTTTTCCGACATAAAATACAGCGTCGCTAACGCGTCACCAAAAGTGTGTCAAGAAAAATATTTGGCGACGCAAACACACTGCGTCGGTAAAAGTCAACACATTTGGCGACGCTTCATACGTCGAGAAAAGTATATCTTTTAGCGACGCATAGTATTTTGCGTCGGCAAAAGTATGCAGAATTTTTTCATATGCAAAAGTGCGTCGGCAAACCTTGTACTTTTGGGGACGCATGCAGCGTCGGCAAAAGCCAATGCGTCGGCAAAAATATAGCTTTTAACGACGCAAAACTGTTCGTCGCTAAAAATTATACTTTTGGTGACGCAAGTTAACGTCGGCAAAAGTGTAGCTTTTAGCGACGCAGAATGAAACGTCGCTAAAAACTATATCTTTGACGACGCAAGATAACGTCGCTAAAAGATATTACTTTTGGCGACGCAATATAACGTCGGCAAAAGTGTTACTTTTAGTGACGCTTTTTAGCCTACACTGAACCTGAACATCCACAAAAAATTTGCTCTCATTCACATCAACAAAGAAACCAGACATCAAATTATACTCCAAACAAGTTGTATAGTATGATAAACAAAGAATTTGCTCCCATTACAAAATAGTTACATTCATTTCCAGTTCTAAGTCAACACTCAAAGACCTGTTTACATATTCCAGTTTGCTTGTAATCCATGGAGGAAAAAAAGAAACACAATGAAAAGAGAGGAAAATGTGAAAGAAAATAAAGAAGGGAACAACTGTTTAAATATTCCAGTTTGCTTGTAACCTCATGACAAGTTGCTCTATGCTTCCAAGATAATCAAATTCAAGTTCCTGCATAACAAGAATAAAGCAGCATCAAAAATAGCCATGAATGCGAGAGTAAAAATTTCACAAATCTCTGATGCAAATACCTGTAAATCCTACAGACACGCTTTCAAATACACTATTTTAGAATTTCTAATTATACGATGGCCAGTTGGTAATAAAAATTAGTTGCAGATCTAAGTATACAATGATTGTAGGTGTGATGGTATCACATTGAGATTAACAGTGATTCCATTTGCATTCAACGCTAACACATTCTTGAGTCAAAGAAATAAACTAAAATAGCTGAGTTTCCATTCTGTTTGGTAATGATAAAAATAAAGCATGTTAGGTGTGGACACCCAAAAAAAATTACCGCGTGAACCAATGTGATACTAGCATGAATGGACAAAGGTATTTTAGAATAATTAAAATCACAGCGAAACAAACATTAGTAAATTGAGGTGTGGTTTTCAATTGTAGTTCCTTTATAGGGAAAAAAGAACTTTGATTTGCACTTTTACTTAACAAATGCAAAGAAATATTAAGTGATAAAACAACAAATTGGCAGTTCAATTTTAATTATGCTAAAAATTCGGATTTATAAGATTCTTACTTGATTAAGACAGGTTCATAGGCAGTAATCAGCACATCCGTACCAACTTCCTTAGGCCGCAAATTTTCCAGATACACCTGGAGTGTTGTATCATGTCAAGGCAAAACCCCGAATGATATAAAATAACAAAGCAGCTAAAAGAGGACGACATAGAACTTACACGCACTAAATTTTGTGCCTCCCTTCCTTGTCTTCCCTCGGAAATTCCCTACATCATAAATCATAAATGAAGAATTGACATAAGCACAAATAGAATAGCATCGGAATATTTTACAAGTATTAAGCGAAGGCTTTACAGAAAAGTGCTATGATTACTTCAGTCTAGCCTGGCCTTTCTTAGGAGATGTGTATATTTCTGTGCCTGCACTCGATGATAAATGCATACAAAAATGTGTTCATACATACACAACAATTAGCGCGTTGGGGAGTACAATCAGATAACTATATTTAGTTCATTGATGTGTTACTTGGATCACTAAACTGAGAGTCTGATCTTCCACAAATTTCTTCTTGTGACTAACTTATGAGCATTTCAATCTCTTAGCCTCGTATATTTTTGTCAAGGTAAATTTTCCAGCCAGAATACCCATGAGCCACATAATAAAAAATGATAGCTCGGCCAAAGTGTCAACTAGATACCAAGATTTTATGTCAGTTTTTGAGCCTGTACTTGCCTTTAATTGGATCCAGTACCAGATAACAGAAGGATGATAGTAGGTCAAGGGCTATATATATATAACCTTAGCCAAGCTTTTTGAAAATTTGTTCGCTTTGATATGTCCCCAGTATATAACCTCATTTAATCCATTTAATAGGAAAACTAATCATGTTGATGTTGGATAATGATGAAACACTGAGCATATGATCGCAATGCAGGGCAAACAATAGCAATCACAGCAATGCAACCGCAGTTGTCATTGTTCGTATTGGTCCTGGAACATTGCATTTAGGTAAAGCTTTACCTTTCATTCAATAATCTAATAGAAGACTAATATTAAGATATGATCAAAATGGATAAAAAAATTTATCGGAAAAATCATTTTATTCCTCCACTATAATTATAAAACCACAAACATATAGTTTTTCAGAAAGTATTAAGAAACAGTAAACTGTTACTTTGGCTTGATATATATTGTTAGCTGGACACCAATTAAAATTTTGGATAAGCTGATGAAGTGGTCACTTGATACGTATTGGAGCATTGTATCAAGTTGACAGCTTGACATACATTTATTTACCCCTGTTTTATTCTTTTTACAAGTTCTGCCATGCTAGTACTAGGGTTTAATGCTTCCACTATAGTGGTCTTTAAATTGCCAAAAAGAAAAAAAAATTATATATGGGGCAGAATTAAGTGTTATGTTTGTTGATATACATTCTCAGATCATAACTCATCAACTTAGGATTGTAGAGAGATTTCTTGTCTCGCAGGAACAAATGCACAAGATCATAAGTTCATGCATGCAGTACCAAGGGTAGAAAGACATGGCACATCAGTCCCAGGACCAGGAAGACTATACAGTGCAGTGTTGTTTCATATGTACATATTTGAACAAGTACTAACTAGTGCTACTTCCCCTTAAATATAGATCACTGAGTCATGAGTAACATTTGCAGAATAGTAAACAATATTACATAAGCATGAATATGTCTAACAAACATGCAGAATAAGTACACGATCTAACTCTTTTACAAGGATAAATTAAGCCAACTATTATATATCAACAAGATAACACTAGTGCATACAAATACTATGTAAAATTCAATGATCAAAAGATAAGTTTAGCTACAGTAATAGCAAGAATAAGAAGCAAAAAGGAAAAAATAAGGATAAATTACCTTTCTGAATCTAGGGCTTCTTGCTGCGCCGGAGGGGAATATGAATCTAGGGTTTCGGATGAGGAGGAGGAAGGTTGGGCCTTTGACCTGGCCTGCTCGATCTCGGCCTCGGTCTCGGCGAGCAACGCAATCGCCGAGCCCACGGGGGCGACGCCTCCCTCTTCGACCATGATTGAGGCGAGATACCCATCGTAGAAGGTTTCCACGTTCATATCGGCCTTATCGGACTCGACGACGA